TTTTTTTATAGCAATACAAGTACATATTAAAATAATTCAAGAAATATCAATGCAGGCTAAATATGAACATAACATTAATTAAGAGAATACAATACAGATCTATTGTAAATACTTTGCAGTAACAAATAGTTTATTTAAATCAAAGGAAATTCACATCTACGTAAAAATGCAAGTTTCGCAAAGTGGATATGGAAGCAAAAATACTTATGTCACAGTAAATTTAGGCTTGTGTAACATTTGCTAGGAGAACTGGCTTTTTTGCTTCCATTTTTGTACATATGTACATATGCACATAAGCAAGAAACAACTAACACACATTTGTAAGTACATACATATTGCCAATTTCCTAGATTTTTTTAGCACTTCGCGAAGTATGTACTTACATATGTATGTACCTACATAGATGGAAGCAGAGAATAACTTAAAATCGATACTGGACAAAACACTAACCGTCATTTTAAGAGAAATTAAATCATTAGTCTACTTCGAGAATAATATGAAATTTCTAAAGTAGGCAATGATAAGATCAAGAATGAATAATTAACAAAACCATCTTAATTCAAAGATTTATGTATTTTGTTTTGTAAGACGCTTAAAACAGTAAATGCCCACAAATCGCAACTACGGTTTTGCTTGCTTTATAAAACACTTTTCCAATTTTATATTGAAAACTTGTTCACCTTTTTTTATTTAATTATACTTAAGAAAGATATATAAATGCTTATAACTTATGCATTATATATATTCACAAAACTCCTACGAATTGAAACTTTACGCAATATAATTAGCGGTTTCTAACAATATAGTATATTAAAGAATGAACATATACATACGTCAAATTAAATTTAAGTGTTTTAAAATTAATCACGAATCCCCTTAATGTATAACCTGAAAAACTTTTACTTTTCATAAAATAAACTTTCTTTTTTTGTGGCACCACAGAGACCATGGTGATGTTAAGGTCATTTAAGTACTTATGCTGAGTTAGGCAAATAATACGCTAGGGAATTATTCGGAAGGAAAGTCTAAAATTAAAAAAAAAGTAGGTAAATGATCATTGCCAAATCGTCAATGGCATAACCGACAGTAGCAACAAACTCGCATTCGCACTGCATTGGATACGACTCTACTGTAGCAAAAGTACATACAACGATATTCATATGTACATATGTATATGGGTACATGCATGCATTACATAATTAATCGAACACACAAAATGGCAGCTACGAAATATACATAAGTTGAATATTTTCAAGCAAATAAAAGCTTATTATACTGATGAAGAATTACTCATTTTCAGAAAATATTTCTGGTCTTTATCCAAATACTTAAATTCATAACTTTCACTTAATAAAACAAAAGTTCTATGAAACTTACTCGAATTAGGTTGTATATCCACTTGTGGGCCTCCGGCTACTCCCGTAGTAAAGACTGTATTATTGTTGCCGGCTGAGATTACATTACCACTTGTTCCAGTTAGAATGACATTAATTGGCACAGCAGTTCCACATCCCGATGAGATAGAGTTATTTTGAATACCAGTTGGTATTAGGAAGCTGGTTGTATTAGGTTGGCTATTATGGGAACTGGAAATTACGCTGATCATAGGCGAAACAGATGTTGTCGACTGTTGCATTGTACTTAAATCGCCAACATTGGCAGAAAGTGGTGCAGGAGCAACACCTGATGAAATAAATGAAAGCTGTGGTATAAGAGTTAAAGTGCTGCTATTGTTTGCATTAGTTGTTACAACATTGCAGGTGGTGGGGTTTGCAATCCTTGTACCGCTATTATTTGCACCGGCTACATTCATACTGCCAGCTATTATTCCAGATCCATTTATTTGCAATGGTAATAACTGAAGCACCGAGTTCCCACTAAAATGCGAAGCATACGCTTGTTGCGTCTGATGCAGATTCTGATGCTGAACTGGTAAAACAGCCGAACCACTTGGTGGTGTTGATGTAATGTTATTATTCATAATAAAAGGAATAAAATGTAATTTTCTTTTCAGATAGCCCCCGAGATATTTGCTGGCGCAGTAACTGCACCAACAATATCTAATCCGGCAGTTGAACAAGTTGACGACTCTGCTGTGAACTTGTAAACTAGGTAATGACTGCACCAAGTCTGATCCAGGTTAATCAAAATTTAAGTTTTTTTTTTATAAATGTATTCTTTAACACATCCACCAAGTATTTTTCTTCAGACGGTTGGAGAATAGTCTATTGCCACACGTTGACGTAATTGTTAATATTCTTTTCGCGTGAGAGTTTCACTAATATGTATTGAATAAATGAATTTTTAATCACTCAGTTTTGGAAGATTTTGCGTTTTATATCCGGAAGGATTCTGGATGCTTTTGAAAATGTCTCGCTCCACTCCTCTGAACCGCGGACGGATTAAAACGAACAAAAAATTATGGCAGCAGCAATGGCAACGCTGCTGCGACGTTGACTGCGACGCGAAGATCGGGTTGCAGTGCTGCGTTGCAATTTTTAAAAATCTTACCGTCCTGCGGGGATGCCAAATTCGCGCCCTGGTATATTGCTTATTTGAGATAAATGTACAATATTATTATATTAATAATTTGCCGCTGGTTCTTAAATTTACAGAGTTAACTTCTCATTGACTAGGAAAAATGATAATGCCTTTATGAGAAAAAAAGCATGGTCAATATTAAATCTACAAGCTATTCGCTTTGTGCTATCTTGTTGCTTTTGCTGTAGGTAGGGCAATTTTGTATGATTGCCAGTGTTGCTTTCTGTGCGTACGCTCGTTTAGTACTCTTTTCTTTGTATTTTGTTATTGGCTTGCCCTAGTCGCAGTCGCTGCGCGTCTTCAAATAGCTCTGCAGCAGAGGAAGTTGTTGATTAAGCTTTTACTGCAAAAATTTTAATGTTCAATGATTTTAATACGTTTATTTTTTGTTATTAAAACTATTAAGAATGTACGTTTTATATCGTTCTTATTTATTGTTAAAGCGAACGCGGTCTACGCTCGCTGATAAGTAGATGGGACAAGTGTTGCCAACATCTTAGCAATATCCAGGGCTCATGATGAAAACTAAACTTCATTGCTGTTTTTTGCTCTCAACGGACAAGTATAAACTTTTACATACATGTGTATGTATATAAATATATATATTCGAATACCAACAACACTATTATTTATATAAAACAGTATATTTTCATCTTGAATGAAAGCTTTTTATATCCGGGGGTATATTCATATGGCTATGATGTTGGAAATTGCATTACCTAACCTATAAATTTTGATGGTCTTAAATATGTGGAATCAAATTTTCCAACAATATTCTTTCAAAGATTTATAATCTTATAGGGACCAATATTTTGTGTTTTACTTTTGAATTTGCAGGACTATGTTCATATGTACTTAAACATAAATGAATTTATTGATGTACAACAGATAGGTAGTATGTATATAGGCAAATGCATTTGCGTATGTATATTGTATATTGCATAATTTGAATTTTTACAGTTCTTATTAAGGACGGTAAGGACTAAAATTTTATTGATTGTAAATTTTTGAGAAATAACAAACTTTCCTGGAATATACTGCTAATTTGTATGCATTGCGCTTTATATTCACATTTGCATATGCATATCTACATACATAAATATCTATGTATGTACACATGTTTGTACGCATGCATGTAAATATGTATGTACAAATAGTATGTGCATATGTGTGCAAAAAAGTTACGAACGTAATTACGACTTTTTTCCATAATATCACTTTTGCATTTAAGGTTTAAAATCGTTTTTCTAAAGTATGAACTTTCATGACGGTTTTACTCAGAAAGAAGAACGAATAATTGACCTTCATATGACGCCGTTGGAAATATTTCAATGTTACTAGCAGTAATGAGTCGACATCAACAAAAAGTTTGTTGTTGGAGCACAATAAAGCACTGTCCGAAATAGTAGAGAAGCTAAATTTCGTAGTATTGCAACCGTTTTTCCATCCAAAATGTTAATAACTTGATAAACTTGCGCTCACGTGCACTTTTACTCATTTTACATCCAAATAATAAAGGAATTTATGCTTATGCACATGTATATACATATGTATGTATGTATGTACAGACATATGCGTTTATTGCCCATTTGTAAAACGAATTGGTGACCAAAAGGCAATGCCAATTATGGCACACAAAAACCATAAACTGGTTTACAAACGCATATTGGCACAATTAAATACCTTCATGCAAAGATGAATACTAGCGGTCTATATATAAGAATATCATTAAGTAAGTTATCACTCAATGTACTGTAGAAGTAATTATTTCTATCCATTGCATTACATAACGTAATATCCCATTTGTAGACATGGTTTTAAAACCTCGTAGTAATTTTCAGTTTGCTACATTGTGCATTGCATAGGTTAAAAATATAGACAGATTTTAGGGAGGCTTACCCGTTTGGTAGGATGTTTTTAATACGTTTTTTTATTTGGAATACTTCGTGAACTAAGAGATGAATAGTTGCGTTCCAGATGCTTCCCGATTTGCAGGTTTTACAGGAATTGCAGGAAAAGCTGCATTAATAAACCTTATTGAAGGTGGCCTCCTGGAACGGCTTCCTGTAAAAACCTGCAAATCGTGAGGCATCTGGAACGCAACTAATTAATTTGTTTAAAGTAGGAGCAGTAATATTTGCACATTAATATGTAAGTACATATGTGCGTATTTCGGCATGGTATGTACATATGTGCGTACGTGCAGATATAAGCATTTGCAGGGTACCTCGCTTTCTCAAAGTATTTTAAGAATTTCCTTAACGTACTTAACTAATTTATTCAAAATCGCTAATATAATATTGATATTCTATGGCAGACAAAAAAATTTTACCAAAAGCAAAAAGGATTCACCAGAGAAAAGCGAATAAATGTAAATATTTTATTTCAATTACAATCAAACCAAGCTCCATTTCCCAGATGCTAAATTTCTACTTTCAGTAACCATTACATGATTCCATACTTACTTTGTATTCTATTATTTGCATATACGGATGAATGCTTGGTGCGTGCTATTGTTGATCATTTGTTACGTGTTAGCGTCAGAACTTTTCAAATCCATAAAAACAAATAAAATTATAACCCTTTGGAGTTAGCAACATATGTACATTTTTATATAGGATTATTTAGATATATTACCCGTGATTTAGTCGCGCCCAAATGCCATGTTCAGGATGCAAGTACGCCTTTTTTCTCGGAGTGAGTCTCTTCGCCAACAAACACACACCTATTAAAAATTTAACTGAAATGTATTGGAGGATTTTCTATGATAAACAATGTATTAAACTTATGCACTTTTCTCAATTTTAATTATGAAAATCTCGTTCATCAAATCCTCTAGGATGTTTTGGTTGCTTTTCTACTGGAACAAAAAAATCTAAACGAAATTAAACAACATCAACGCCGTTGTAAAATTCTGCTAAATACTACTGTTGATAAGAAGAGCAACGCGTCGAAAACTAGAAGCGGCAGAGGGACTACACGTCGAGCAGAGCACGTTGACGTATTTTAACACAACACAGCAACCCGAGCAATTGCAGGCACCAAAGTTTAATTAATAAAATTGTGCTAACTGAAACAATGAAATATTTATAATTTGCTATATATTGCAACAGATTTGATACACATGCTAGCATATACATACATACATATCGTTTAATACAATAAAGATAAGATTTTAGAATGCATGGTTAAATTTTTTAACTGCGGCAACACTGGTGCTAAATGCATGTTGGGTTAGTTTTGCAAATTAAAATTTACTTGTTTTAAACTCTTTTAGGAAAAGTATTACTCTTCAATGGAAAGCATATTAATTTACAAAGAATAGTAAAAGTTTTAAAAGCTTGAAAAGGTTATCTCATTTCATTGAAATAGTAGTTTACGCCATATTTGAACACTTCCGCAGCACAGCGGAACACATACTTACATCCGTTTTATAATTTATGCGTGCACACTTTACTTTTCTCTCATTCATAAGCATATAAAAGTTCACTATAGTTCGTATTTCTAAATGCTTTAAAATGTTAAATGTCTCGAAAAGTATAAAGTTTTGGTTTGGTCACTATTTCAGCCAAATATTTACATGCTTTTAGCCAAAGCTATAGGTGAATGTATGTATTCTTGCATGGTGATTTTTAGGTCCGAATGACAAGCAACTCTGCAACTGTCAAATAACAAAAAAAAAAAAAACAACAGCCGATTTAGTGACTGGATGTTGACAACTATAGTTTCTTAAGTTAGTTAATTTATTCTCCATTGTTTGGAATATAAATAAAATTGATCAACAACTTCCGCTATTTGCGATATCACTGCATCATTACCATTATTCAGCGTTATTAACAGAACAATATAACGCTTAACTATTCGCGTTTTCAAGTCATTATCCAAAAAGTATGTCACTAATCGATAAACTACAAGAACCTGATGACAACATACCGCTGGCCGACGAGGACACACAAGGTATTTATATGGTAAAATTTTCTAGATTTTCTAAAAAAAAAAAAAAAATATTATTTAGTTATCATCAATGACGATGACCCACATCAACATAATATCCCAAATGGTCGCTCAATGGATTCACTTCGTTCATCGTTTACTAACCGTAGCACCACCCCTGACTCATCACATAACTCTTTAGAAACTGATGTCAGCCCTGATGAGAAGGAGGAAAAAGCTCGCCTTATTACACAAGTGTTAGAACTGCAAAATACACTCGACGACCTTTCACAACGTGTCGATTCCGTTAAAGAGGAAAATTTAAAGTTGCGTTCTGAAAATCAAGTTTTGGGACAATACATAGAAAATTTAATGTCAGCTTCTTCAGTATTTCAATCAACAAGTCCAAATGCGAAAAAGAAGTGAACAGCTTCAGCGTTAGATACCGAAGATCCATTTGAACCAAAAAACGCTATGCGCCTTAAGTTGGTTTATACTTTTTTTTTGAGTTTATGACCAAATACGAGCAAATATAATCTTAAAATTACTTATACTAACAGGGAATTTACATGATTCAACTTTCACAGGCGATTAGTTGAACCAAAAGTTGAACGAAAGTAGGCAGCCGACAGACTTCATTGAAAGCGATTAGTTGAAAGGCCGTTTACATCAGGCGATTGTTGCTTTAAACTAAAAATCGCCTCCTGTAAATTCCCTAGTATGTATGAGTTTCGAAGCATGTTAGTAAACTTTGTTCATGTAACCTATTGATATTCACCTAAAAATAGTTTCATTACATTTCAAATCCATATCGATGGTCCCATGCAATAACGACACAATTAAAAATTCATATTACTTACTTTAGTAAGGTTTAGACAAGGATTACAGACATGAGCCACTTAACAGTAGTAAGGATTTTTTTAGTTGTCATTGCAGAGCACCATCGATATGCAAATATTGCATTCATGTATTAGCTAACGTTTTCGAAAGAACGCTCCATTTATTTATAATCAACATTTATGCATTATGTATGTATATTTTTTTATATATATTACAGCTAAACACACATAAAACATTTGCTACGCGATATCAAATAAAATGCCTTTTTCTGAAGTTGGTTGTTTGAGTTCAAAGAGGATAGACAGAAAAAAGGAAGACTAGGAATATAAATTAAGTTTTTAAGTATTGGTTTGATTAGGGTTAGCAGTGCAACCTCAGTTAGGTTTGAGGACGCTATTACGATTATGAATAGCAACTATAGTCAAGTACTATAATGTCGAAGTACAAGCAACCAAGGCTTGAGTTTAAAGAAGCTGGAAAAAGAGTTGAGCAAATAAATATTTTTTTAGTAAAAATTTCCGCAGCCTCCCCTTCATAAAAATGCAGCAGTCAATAAAGCAACTCAATATCTAGTTGCCATCTACGTATACCATTCCAGCCACTTGCAACGCAACTGAAGCTCGTTTGCAATGGGTAGTCGACCCATAAGTATGTAATGTAAACAAAATTATAATTATGTATATAAAAATTATTGTTATTAAAATTATAATTAAAAAAATTATAAATAATATTAAAATTATAGTTATTAATGTTATTGAAATTATAATTATGCATATAGAATTGAGAAATACATTTTTCTCAAACGTTTGAAAGTGTGTTTGCAGGGTATCTACATATTGCACCTTTGCTACAAGTGTCATCGAGTCTTCATCTATATTGCCGTTTTTCTCGAGTTTTTAAATTTTTGGATCATGACACCTCTGCAGCAAAGGTGCGACGATATTTATTTACAAATTTTTGCATTATGGCCTTGCTTGGGTTGATGTAAATCGGGGTTTTCCTGTTACGTAGACCCAACTGCATTGGGAACGTAAGCTACTTTGTAAAGTTAATCCATAATTTTCAAACAATCGCTTGAAAGCCACTGTAATAGATCTCTCTAAGTAAAAACACTACTTTCTAATGGGTTCAAACTTACGGTTATCAGCCACATTATATACATTTATTATTATTATTTTTTTTTTGTACATAACACAGTACGTATCAACTTATGATTATTGATTATATTAGGGTCCATTGTATTTTAAAAGATATCTTTTACAAATTAAACTAAAACTTTAATTTTATTAATATCTATTGTTATGTTGCCCATAAGGATTATACCTTTGGAATCTGTTGTTATGTTGTCCACCTCTCTGCTGGTGTTGTTGATTATTTCGGTAATTATTTCCGCCAGAATTGTTGCCAAAATTGTTTTGGTAATTATTATAACCAGATCGAGATTGGAAATTTTGTTGGGGATTCGGTCCTCGAGGATATTGTCCCCTGTTATTTCCACCCGTGTTATAATTGGGTCTGTCCAAGTTGGCTTGTAACATTCTATGACCCCCTGCACTCAAATGTCCAGTTGGGAGGTTTCTGTTGAATCCTATAATTGGTCGATTGTGTCCAGACTGTCCTCCTTCTGAATTTGAGTTAAGTACGTTAGGAGGATCTATTGCGTTAGGCAACCGTTTGGCAGGAAATATGAATTCAATGTCATATTCAGGATCCCGGAAGCGTACTGTAATAAGCTCGTTGGATGTTATATTCGGCAGTCCATATATTGGCGATTTAAGTGAACCTTGAATTTTTACATTATCTTCAGCTTTTAAAATGCTACCACCCATTCCTTCCAAAACAACAGAAATTTTTTGCTCCATAGATGAAAGTGATTTCAGCTGATGCTTAAACCATTCAAACTTAGGGTGCAATTTTCCAATATAAAGGCGATTATCTCCGCGTTTATTACGTCGAATCTCTTCTTCGGTTAATTTACTATAATACGGTTTTAGAGCTTTAAAAAGCCTCCGTTCGTCTACAAATGGAAGCAAGGCCACGCCCTGCCAAGCAAATTTTTTGCCATTTAAATCAATTTTAAAATCTTCAGGATAAAAGTCAATAATTGGTGAATCCGGATCGGACATTAGAGTAGCCCACGGCTTTGGTACATGTGACGAGCTGGCTGCAGGAAAGACACCCATCAATTGTTCAAGTGGATTAAATGGTTTTGTACCTCTGTCAAAACTTGTCGACAAACCCGTTATGTTTACAAAATCTGAAGCAAAGGGTGCATAATGGTAAGGAAAATACCAATCCCACGAAGCACAACCTTGATAGTAATATTTTAATACCCAGCATAGCCCGCGTACATACTGCAAAGCAACAGAGTAGCGAAAGCCGGGGTTATTTGTACCCACGTCGAATTTAGATTCATAATAGCGATTTTTGAAGCCTGCTTCATATAATCGGACTTCGTCGTTATCATCTTCTTCAGAATCGTTATCAAGCCCTGCTTCGGCAGCTGTCCTTTTAACTCCTTTATTATTTTGCATTCTTAATTTCATAGCTTCTTCCTTGTAATTGAATGCACCACGTTGTGAGCCTGAAGCCCCGCGATTTACTGCGCTAGGTTGAAAGAACGTTGACGCGCCAAGACTTTCAGCTCTATATTCGTTTTCACGCTGACGCTTTTGACGTGCTTTAAATTGTTGTTCACGTCGCTGTCTCTCCTTGAAAATGTTATCTTCAACATTGCCCAAATCAGTTAGTATCATTTGTACCCTCTGCAAATTCACATCGCCTGAATTTGTTAGATATCCACCAGTTTTATAGACACACTTTTTATAAAGCTCTACTAATCGATCTACTGCGCCTTCACGAATTTCAAGACTCGGTAAATGTGGTAAAAAATCATTGCCAACAAAGAAGCACATAAAAACCCAGTCATCCAAAGCGCGCTCAAAGTCATACTTGAATGGCAAATTCGGCATTTCTAAAGTTTTTTTGAGGTATTCCCGAAGAACACTTAAACGTACAAATATGAATCTCACTTCAGCATTTATGGGAACATCGGGTTTAAAGCTTTCATCATTTGAGCCACCTGCATTGCCTAGTCCCACACACTTTTGCATCTCATGTCCATATTGTTTACATATGTCACAAGGACGAGGTTTGTTGGGTAAAAATTCTTCTCTTATAATGGTAAAATTAGGTTCATGTGTGGCCAGGCCCAACATAATCAAATCGGCATCTGCACCACACAAAACATGTTGTGTATTTGGATCGTGATCTGGTTGAGCCCTTTGTTTCCGAATGTAGTCCATTATTTTATGTTCACCTTCTCCGGGTGCATTGGCATCTGACAATACAACTTTTATGCCTTTCCAGGCAGGGTTTGTATTCATTCGGTCGTGGATGTAATAATGTAAACATTTACTTAATCTATCCATAAACGGCGTACCTGGTGTTATACAATTAGAATCGAAGTGCTCCTCATCAGTCTTTTCAGGCGGTAGTATACAACCTTTGACTAAAAGCTCATCTCGTATCTTTTGTATCTCGACGCGTTTTTCATTTGCTTCCTTGGCAGCTCTGAAACGGCGCGATCTTTGCTGATTCATTTTGGCTCTGGGCGCCACTCCGTCAATGGCCATATATAACAATTTGCGAGGACGAACAATGCCAAATAAGCGATCAATACATTCAAATATCGCTACCATCATTTCGTCTTCATTCTTCGGAGCGGGCTTATCTTCGGGATGAGTGCATGGATGTATTATACCATTCATATCTAAATATAAATTATCAAACTCAATCCCATTAGGGTTGGGGAGAGTGGCGTCTTCGTATATAGCTTTTCCAGTGTCTGGATCAGTAGTCTTATTTTCGTTGCAATCAACTATAACACACGCATACTTCTTACTTAACCACCTAAAAAATGCCGGAACTCCCATTCTGGCACTATATCAACTCGAAAATTTTTGTGGAAAATGAAGAAACGAGGAAATTTGCACTTAACCAAACAAGCGGACAACCTGGACAAGAATAATTATCAATTATCAATTGTGAATGGTTTTGCTAGCACTAATCGCAACCAACTTCGCGTAAGTAACGTCCGCAATTCATGATAATTTATGAGCCATATTAGGACTGCTCGACTATACTAGAAAGTCGACTAGTCGACGAAGAAAAGTCGACTTTTTATAAAAACAAAGGCGCGAATTCATAGTCCAGCAACTAAGTCGAAACTAACAAAGTTGCAACTTAAATTTAAGTACCAACTTAAAATTTACCTCTATTCATTGTCGCATTTCAGACTTCTACTAAGTAGTTTCGACTTAGTTTACGATATAGCAAAACGAGTGTGAAAATGTATCGATTTTTCTTTACGATATTTTGGAAAAATTACATTTTTATTAAATAATGTCAAGTTTGATCATCCGTTTATGTAATTTTTATTTTCATTGCATGATTATGCAAAAGAATAAGGTATCATTTTCTTGTTAATTGTGTGAAATAGCCAGAACAACCGCAGAGATGTGAAGTCGATGTTTATCGAAAGCATGATGTGAAACATACAAATAGTAGATATCTAAATACACAAATTTGCTTTAAAAGAACTAGCGTGAAACTGACTTATTATTTGAGAATTTATATAAAATAATTCCAATTATAAATTTGTGATTTAGCTTTATTCGAATTATAATACGCATTTAATTTCATCTTCCGAATAAATCCTTGTAAATTTTAATTGGAGATTATTCAACATTATCAAAATCACCCTCTACCAACTTAATTTTTACAAATTTCGTCTGTTTTCCCTTAATTTGATAAAATACTTCTTCCTAGTTGCGACTTAAGAGCGAAATACACCACACAAGCGGCTTGTCAAACATTCTTCAAACCTACTTTTCCCATTTCGCCATACACCATGCAAACATGACTCGTTCAAGCAAAGAATTTTAGTTTTCTTCCAGTTCGCAATGCTAAATATTATGGGTTTCTTTCATTTTCCTCTCTTACGTCCTTACTCGGTGAAAATTTCGTTGCGAATGAGGCGATTTTGCTATACACAACGCAAGCGGTTTGATCAAACATCAACATGGCGGCCAGAAAATCAAAAAATTTTGATTTTTTGCTCAAATTTCCCTCAAGCGGTTTGTCAAACCTTCAAGCACCCCCATACACAGCACAAATGGCTTGAAGCAAAGGGAAATTTCGCTTGGTTTGTCAAACCGCTTGTGTGGTGTATTTCGCTCTTAAGTTGCAGCTGCAGCCGAAACTAAATTTTA